GAACCTAAGAAAAAAATTTGTTTTTTTAAAAAAAATTGTTTTGTTTTTGAAAGGTCCTTCCTGCTCCCTCAGATTGCATCTAAGATAAAAAAATTAAACAGAAGCTGCAATAGCAACAAAGACTTAGTTAAGAAGAATATGCGAGACACAGCTGATTCTCACAGCCACTTGGCCTGGAGGTCAAATCCCCCCTAGTATTAGCTACAACAATCAAGGCTTAACTACAAGACTGCGCACAAAGACCACTAGGGGGTGCACCAAGAAAGCATAACAAAATGTGGAGACAAAGAAACAGGACAAAATTGTCAATGGAAGATATAGAGTTCAGAACCACACTTTAAGGTCTCTCAAGAACTGTCTAGAAGACGCCGATAAACTTAATGAGATCCTCGAGAAATCTAATGAGACCCTCGATGTTGTGATAAAGAACCAACTAGAAATTAAGCATACACCGACTGAAATAAAGAATACTATACAGACTCCCAACAGCAGACCAGAGGAGCGCAAGAATCAAGTCAAAGATTTGAAATGCGAAGAAGCAAAAAACACCCAACCGGAAAAGCAAAATGAAAAAAGAATCCGAAAATACGAAGATAGTGTAAGGAGCCTCTGGGACAGCTTCAAGCGTACCAACATCCGAATTATAGAGGTGCCAGAAGATGAGAGAGACCAAGATATTGAAAACCTATTTGAAGAAATAATGACAGAAAACTTCCCCCACCTGGTGAAAGAAATAGACGTACAGGTCCAAGAAGCGCAGAGAACCCCAAACAAAAGGAATCCAAAGAGGACCACACCAAGACACATCATCATTAAAATGCCAAGAGCAAAAGACAAAGAGAGAATCTTAAAAGCAGCAAGAGAAAGAAACTCAGTTACCTACAAGGGAATACCCATACGACTGTCAGCTGATTTCTCAACAGAAACTTTGCAGGCCACAAGGGAGTGGCAAGAAATATTCAAAGTGATGAATACCAAGAACCTACAACCAAGATTACTTTATCCAGCAAAGCTATCATTCAGAATTGAAGGTCAGATAAAGAGCTTCACAGATAAGGAAAAGCTAAAGGAGTTCATCACCACCAAACCAGGATTATATGAAATGCTGAAAGGTATCCTTTAAGAAGAGGAAGAGGAAGAAAAAGGTAAAGATACAAATTATGAACAACAAATATGCATCTATCAACAAGTGAATCTAAGAATCAAGTGAATAAATAATCTGATGAACAGAATGAACTGTTGATTATAATAGAATCAGGGACATAGAAAGGGAATGGACTGACTATTCTTGGGGGGGAAAGGGGTGTGGGAGATGCGGGAAGAGACTGGACAAAAATCGTGCACCTATGGATGAGGACAGTGGATGGGGAGTGAGGGCGGAGGGTGGGGCGGGAACTGGGATGAGGAGAGTTATGGGGGGGAAAAAGAGGAACAAATGTAATAATCTGAACAATAAAGATTTAATTAAAAAAAATTAAAAAAAAAGAATATGCAATGACAGCAAATATGTACAAGCAATCTTTACTGAAGATAGGTAACCATTCAAATAAGCCTTTACGGATAATGAGGATGGGTAGCTGTTTAAAATCCAACTTTATGACACTGCAACTTAGAGAATGACTACTGAATATCTACCTAAAATAGCAGTTGTATCATCTGAAGCTGTTTCAGGTAGCTGTACTTAAATTCTACATTCCTGATAATGTTTTTAAAAAACAATGCCTTAACTGATTTGACTAGGGTTGGGGAACCCAAATCCTGCCCTGCTACATAGTAAAGATGACCACTAATTGTCAGGGCCAGCCTGACAGGGTTGAGCCGGGCTGAGGCAGGGAGGTGGGAATTGAGAAAAGAAAGAAAGACAGGAAAGCGGGGTCGGGAGGACCCCAGTTCTCTTGATGAACTGAAGCGAGTTTATTAGCTATACAATCCTATTTATACACAACACACTGAATAGGAGGTCTGTCAAGAGGAATGTATTCTTTGTTCCTCTTAATCTCTAAGGGAGAGACATAGCAGAAGGACAAGTTCTCAGTACAGCATATCTCAGTAAATAGTTACAGACTTCTTGGTAAGCTATGAAAGGCTGTTCTCATTCTACAAATGTTACTCCCATTCTACTGATAATCGCCATCCAAACAAGTCTGGGAAAACTGTGTGGGTAAGGGTCCCAGCCTTGCTAGCCCCTGCAGGTGCAAAGACCTTGCCAGCTTACATCTGGCCCCCAACAACTAATCATTTCACAATTCTCTCTATCCTCTCCTTTTAAAATCTAGGCGGGCTCTATGACTGCCAGTGTTCAGAGCGAGGTGGATTGCAGCTTCCACTTCCTGTCTCCTTGGACCACTTTCTACCATCGTGTGATGATGCTCTAGTAGCCACTGGAGAAGCCTCTGTGGAGAGGAACTGGGGCTCCCAGCCAGCAGCCAGTACTAACTTGAAGTGGCTCCAATTGAGGCTGCATGAAATAGAGACCAGCCATCCCCACCATCTGCTCCCAAATTGCAGATTCAAGAGTAAGATAAATGATTACTGGAACACACCTCAAACCTTAATTCAAGGTATTCAAAGATTTAAATTTAAAGGAGCAGTGAAATAATACTTACATTTTTTGAGTACTTGCTATGTGACTAAATGCTTTACACATTATTTCCTAAAACACCTTATTAGAATTATCATTTCCTCTATTCTATAGATGAGGCAATTATAGACACTGCCCAAGATCAAGTTATAGGAGGATAATATTCAAAACAACTAACTCTAAGGCACATGCTTAGTAGAAAAATGAGAATGAAAGAAATTCCAAGCTAATGCTGGGGACTCAAATTCTCACGAATACAGTATTCATTAGAAAGTATGTCAATTAAAAGGTATTTCCTGAGGGTGCCCATATATTGCTTAGCATAACTTTCAAAATTAGTGGTAACATTTTGTGAAGTATAGTATTCAGAAAACATTTTCTTAGTACTTACAACTTTATGATGGCTACTAAATACATGGAAGAGGTTACAAAGAGAAATGACAACATTTTTGCTCGAAAGGTTCTTTAATGGAGAAATAAGGCATATTACACACAGTACCAAGATATAAGTACTATAAAATGAGCAATAAAGTGGTGTGGGAATATATTCATTCATTCATTCAACCAATATTTACTGGGTGCCAATGTGGCAGTAAACAAGAAAGATATGGTCTCTGCTCTCCGAGAGTTGATTCATATAACTTTTACTGGAAGCACCAGGAAAGAAGAGATACATTTTAGCTTGGCCTTCAGGGACCTCTAGACTTTGAGCATATGAAGATCTGAGGAATAAAAGGGCATCTAAGGTACAAAGATAACAGTGAGCAGAAAAATGAAAAATACTGAAGCGCAATAAAATTAGGATGTGCAAGGAGACTTTAAAGCAAGAATGATATTTTACTAACTCTTAAATTCAATCAACTTTAAGTCAGGCCATTAGTTTATGTACCAAAAGAAAACATACTACAAATTTATAGCATGGCTCTCAACCAGGGGCAAGTTTGCACCCCCCGGGATCATTTGGCAATGTCTGTAAACATTTGTAGCTGTCACAACTGAGGGGGTGCTACTGGTCTTTAGCAGGTACAAGCATGGATGTCGCCAATCGCCCAACATTGCACAGGAGAGCTCCCACAACAGGAATGATTCAACTCAATACTGATAATATTGCCAACATGGAGAACTTCCGAACTACAGGATGCAATAAACCAAAGACGCATCTAGATATTAAAAATTATTTTTAGATAGATAAAATACAGTAGTTCAGTTTATCTGGGATGAACGCAGAATTTGTAAAGTAGTACATGCTAGAAAATAATGCTGGTAACTCTGTATCTGAATCTGTTTTCTCACCTTTGGAATAGAAAAATGATGGTGACCAGTGGCTGTTTTAAGGAAATAATTTGATGCAGTGTAAACCACAGGGCCAGCCCCTCAACACCATATGTCAACCCTTTGCTTTTGAGAAACCCCACACTCTATTCACAGTAATAAATATCCCACTTCTACTATTCTGACTGATCTCAAAAGAAACGTACTGACTTTCCAATCATATAAAAACAATATCGCTTATTGTTTTTAAAGCCCAGCTCTATGCCACTTACTCTATGGAGCTCCCTCAATGCTCTCAGTTTAAAATATTCCTTTCTCCTCTTTAACTTCCTTAGTATATCATCTATACATCTCTAATAGTATTCATGTGATTTATCTTTTTTTGAAATATAAGACCCTTTGGGTCAGGATCTATGTCTGGTTCACACCTGTAACTCCCACAGGGCCCACAACAGCATCCTACACATTGTAAGTGGTCAATGAATATCTGAATGAATAATTGAATAAATATACAGTACCAGAAGACTATAATTAAATACAAACTCCTCAGACTTCTCAAAGATCTTTCAGCCTTCCCTCATAGGGCTCATTTTGTAAATCTGTAATCATTTTAGTAGCTCTCCAAGTTCTCATGCTTCAGCTATACGGTCTCAGAGAGAGCAGAGTTCTTTAACGAGTCCTAACCACTACTTCAGAAAATACCATTCTGTAAATTCCATTGAGTTTCAGATCATTTCCCCATGGGATAGCAGTCAGTGTTTGGTCTCAAAACATTTAAAGCCCCTTAAACAACAGAGTACTAAATTTCTCAGAGAAAACAGGGACAATGTGAGTATAAACACAGGAATAGGCAAAAGTAGATTTACAGTAGCTTTATTAACTCAAAAGAATTCAATGCAACTGTAAACCTACTTTTGCCTACCCTGTATGAACAGTAAAGACATTTCTATTTATTGCTCACCAATACCAATTACATTATTGAGGATCATATTTTTTGGATACTTTTTGTGAGAGAGGAGAATATGGGGAATTTTAAACTAATAGAACAGAAATATTAAAATGTATGATTATCACAGAGAAAGTAAGACAGTAAGAAAAAAAGATCAGTTATAGAATTTTAAGGTGTTCTTTTAAAAGATAATAAAAAGACAGATTATTAATCTTTTATTATTATACCACATAACAGTGGAATAAATTATTTAGGGTTAGCACATGTACATGTATGGGAATTATGATGGTCAGTGGTGGTTTAGATTAAATACACAGGACTTTGTTTTTTAAGCACCCCCTTTTTTTCCTTCATTGTAGTACTTGAGCATCAATCAATGTTTGGTGGTTTCTTCCAGCAAGTCCTTTGCTTCATTTATTTTGGTTGCTAAGTATGGAGATCCACCTGAGGACAAAGAAAAATAATTGAATTAAAACACACTTTATTATTGACATTTTTAAGTATCAAAAAGAAGAACAATCTTAATTATAATTCTCTGATATTTTCCCACCCATCCATTCTCTCACAAATTAATTTATAAGCTGACTAGAAATCAAAACAGCATAAATTAAACTTGTTTAGTGAAGCACTACAGATACCCAGCAATCAAAGACAACATCTGAGAAAGATAATGAAAGAAAGTTATAATCAGGAATAATTTGAAAAACACTCAAACATTTTGTTGATCAGACATTACCATTCAAATATTTAACCAGAGAATTTTCTGAAATTAAGTGAATGGTGAGGTAAAGAAATCCATGGGCTCTTTTAGAGTCTAATCAAACCTTATAATTTCACAAAAATAAAATACAAGTTAAAAAGGCAACTATGTAGTACCCAGTTCTAAAAATCATATTTACTAATACAGATGAACAAATAAATGAATGATAATAAAAATAATGTTAAAGGAAATGCTCCCTGTTCTCTGAAATGATCCAATTAGAATACTTATGAAATACAGTTTTACATTTACTGTGCCCCAAAATAAAATTAAGTCAGTTCTTTCTTAGAGTTCTTTGAAATAAATTCTTTCTAATGCAAACAGCAAGAGAAAAATTGAGCTAAATTTCAAATTCAGAATCATTATAAATCACAAACAGAACCTATTTGACATATAAAAATACTAGCCCCATATTGTCATATTAAACCTGTTCAAGCATTGTACGCCTCCTAACTTCTAGTCCTAAACACTTTATTGCTTAACAGTCAAGCTAACAATCACTATAGGTCACCAGTTTCTTTGTTTTTATTCTCTCCTTGAGTTTCCAATCACCGATAGCTGTTGAAAACATCATTAAGACCTCAGTAGCTTAAAAAAGTCCAAAAAACATATAGATAGTACTGGTGTAATTGTCCTGAGTTTATTCAAATCTTTTATTGATTAAGGAAAAAGAAAGCAAGGAAAACAGATCAACAAACATGGTGTTGTAGTATAAAGGGCAATGCAGGAGGAAGCTAAATTTAGCTTTTTGCCCTTGAGTATACCAGTTACATTTTCATATCAAGATCTAAATTGCTATACTTATGGAATATATCACAGTGTCCTTGAATATACAATAAAAATTATATATGAAGTTGATGAAAGTTTCCATACACACTTGATTATGAAACAAACTGATTTCATGATTTGAAAATAATCTTGGAATTAGGTAATGCCAATCTTTTTAAGCTGTTTACATTTTTAGAGCTACCTAGGTAATGTCAGGCATCTTGTATGTCCTCAATAAATATTAAAATATTAACTCAAACACAACCTTTAATTGATTGGTATGCATTCTGGATATTTAAATCACAGTCTATAAATGCTCATTTAGCAGACAGAAAAAAATCAAAGGTACAAATCGAAAGTCTCATTAAACATTATACTCATCAATGGCAATGCTAGAGGAATGCTGGACTTTTCACTTATGTGCACAGTAGAAATTTTGGCTTGGCTCTCATTCTACCCTCCTAAGATTTGGAAAAGTTCCTAAGCCAAAAATTACAATTCCTACATTCCCTTCAAGTAGTGTTTGCTACCAGTTGTGAAATTTGAAAGGCTGAAGTGAGGGTAAGGCTTTCTTGCTGGGCCTCTTTGTTATTGCTGCCAGCAAGCGAGGTCGTGGAGTAGCAGTGGCAGCAACAGCACCTCAGTACAGTTCTAGTGTCAGTCTAGGAGGCAGTAGCTTCCCTGACAGAGTCGCTGGTTTGGGGAGTTATTCTTATAGGCCTAGTTTAGAATTTACTCCTTCAGACCTTCCAACAATTTGTAAACACTAGTACCCTGCACTAAATGCCCTCCTGCTTAACGCATCTTGTTTCTGGCACTGACTCTTGACTGCTATAACAATATGTGATATATATCCTATACTTAATGGGAACAATATACATTTGAATCTTTCAATTTTGCTCAATTTTATTGGGGAACCATCTAGATTCTATTTAATTAGAACACTCACCTCACCCTTGACCTCTGCACCTTTGTACTTCCACTAAATACTGCTAGAAATCTTCTGCTTTGGGCTGTCATGAACTATTATATTTTAGAACCACCATCCCATTAACACTAATAGAAGAGTTGAATAAAATACAACGCATCAATATGAAAGAACAGGAGGTCTACCCAGTCAGTCAAGTGTTGAGGGTAAAATCCTAGAGATAAGAAAAATGCATTGTGATGAGCCCAATATGCTGCACTGATTTTTCCTTTCAAAGAAGCTAAACACCAGATAGTATCCTATATAATCCTATATAATAAAAGGCTAATATGCAAATAGAAAGGCGGTACAACCAGAATATCCGAACAACCAGTCACTATAACATGTGCTGACCACCAGAGGGCGTGTGCAGAGCATGGCGGGCATTGGCCGCAGCAGGATGTTGGAGCAGGTGAGGGGGGCACCAGACCAAGGGGGGCACCTGTCCCACTCCCACCTGCTGCTGGAGCCTGGCACTGGCCCTGATCACTCAGTGCCATCAGTGAGTGGGAGTGGCAGCTGCTGGCCCTGGTCGCCACTGAGGGCTTCTCCACCTCCCCCTTCTCCTGAGGGGTGATCAGGACAGCAGCTGCTGCTCTCACTCAGTGATGGCGTTGGCACCAATCGCTCTGCACCATCAGGAGGTGCGAGTGCGGCTGGCACCTTCAGTGTGTGGGAGCAGCAGGAACGGGGCTGCAGGCAGACAGGGGAACCAGGGGCCGCGGTGGGAGGGGCCGGGCAGAGGTGCAGAGGATGAGCCGAGACCTGCCCCATGCCTACTGCAGCCTCATGGCCCATAGTTCATTTCAAGGCACATGAATTTTGCACTGCGCTGCTAGTATACTATACAATTCCACTTATATGAAATGCTAGAAAAGATAGCTAATGTATGGTCGCCCAAATTCGGAAACAGACTGGCAATGGGAAGAAGCACCAAGGAATTTTTAGAGTTATACAAAGCTAATATTTAGTTTATTTTTGTGTATATCTTTTGAGAACTTTCTTCATCAGGGCTTCCTATCAAAGATATGCTATCCTCATAAAAAGAATTAAAGTACATTATCTTTTCCTTCTATTTTTTGAAAAAATTAACTTGTAAAACTAACCTGGCCAAACATTTTATTTGTAGAAAGATTTTTAATTAGATTCAATTTCTCAAATAGATAGCATACTTTTTAAAATTATTATTGTCTAAAGTTTTACGTATGTCTTTTTCCCTGATTGATGCCCCCTGCCCCCCCCCCCCCGCCCCCGACTTTCACACCCTGGGCAAGCTCCCACTGCCCCAGTACCTGTGTCCATTGGTTATGCTAATATGCATGCATACAAGTACTTTGGTTGCTCTCTCTCTGCCCCTGCCCCACCCCTGCCATTTGTCTCTGGACCTATTTTTGCTCATCAAAATATGTTGATCATTATATCCCACATATGAGTGATATCATGTGATATTTATCTTTCTCTGACTGGCTTACTTCGCTTAGCACAATGCTCTCCACTTCCATCCAGGCTGTTGCAAATGGTAAAAATTCCTTCTTTTTTACAGCAGCATAGTATTCCATCATGTAGATGAACCACAGTTTTTTAATCTACTCATCTGCTGATGGACACTTAGGTTGTTTCCAAATCTTAGCTATTGTAAATTAGGCTGCTATGAACATAGGGGTGCATATATCCTTTCTGATTGGTGTTTCTGGTTTCTTGGAATATAGTCCTAGAAGTGGGATTACTGGGTCAAATGGGAGTTTCATTTGTAGTTTTTTGAGGAAACTCCATACTGTCTTCCATAGTGTCTACACCAGTCTGCATTCCCACTAGCAGTGCATGAGGGTTCCTTTTTTCCCACATCTTCGCCAGCACTTGTCAGCTGTTGTTTTGTTGACTATACCCATTCTGACAGGTGTGAGATGGTACCGTATTGTTTTGATTTGCATCTCTCGGATGATTAGTGACTTTGAACATGTTCTCATGTGTCTCTTGGCCTTCTGTATATCCTCTTTGGAAAAGTGTCTATTTAGGTCCTTTGTCCATTTTTTTGATTGGATTGTTATCTTCCTTTTGTTAAGCTGTATGAGTTATCTGTAAATTTTGGAGATTAAACCCTTATTTGAAATATCCCTGACAAATATGTTCTCCCATACAGTGGGATTTCTTGTTGTTTTGTTGATGTTCTTTTGCTCTGCAGAAGCTTTTTATTTTGATGTAGTCCCATTTGTTTATTTTCTCCTTAGTCTACATTGCCCTAGGAGCTGTGTTGGTAAGATATTGCTACGACATACGTCTGCTATTTTGCTGCCTATGGAGTGTTGTAGGTTTTTTATGGTTTCCCATCTTACATTCAAGTCCTTTAGCCATTTTGAGTTTGTTTTTTTGTGTATGGTGTAAGTTGGTGATCTAGTTTTATTTTTTTGCATGTATCTTACCAATTTTCCCAGCACTGTTTATTGAAGAGACTGTCTTGACTCCATTGTATGCTCTTGCCTCCTTTGTCAAATATTGACCATAATGACTTGGGTCAATTTCTGGGTTATCTGTTCTGTTCCATTGGTCTATATGTCTGTTCTTGTGCCAGTACCAGGAAGTTTTGAGAACCGTGCTTTGTAGTATAGCTTGATATCTGGTATTGTAATCCCTCCAACTATGTTCTTCTTTCTCAGTATTGCTGCAGCTATTCGAGGTGTTTTTTTTTGTTTGTTTGTTTTTGTTTTTGTTTTTGTTTTTGTTTTTTATTCCAGATGAATTTTTGGAGAGTTTGTTCTAGATCTTTGAAATATGCTGTTGGTATTGTAATGGGGATTGCATTAAATCTGTAGATTGCTTTGGGTAGTATGGACATTTTAATGATGCTGATTCTACCAACCCATGAACATGGTATGTTCTTCCATTTGTTTATGTCTTCCTCTATCTCTTTTTTCAATGCCATGTAGTTTTCTGAGTACAGGTCTTTTACCC